TGGACACCATCTCCTTAATACTATGGGCGCCAACCACTGACTTGCCTTTGGCTTCATTGGCCAAGAAATCGTCCACTTTTGAGGTCGTCCTGTTGTACGCACACACCTAACGACACACATTTCAATCTAATTGTTTGCACCGGTATTTTATGACACATGTGTGGCTTATGACATACTAGTAAATCACTCATTCTTAGTTCATAGGGTTTTTAAATTGAGTATAGAATCTATACTATAGATTGTATTGAAATAATAATGCAATTAAAAATATATTAAATAAAAATCTGGTAAATTAATGACACATTAGTCTATTATTTTGACATGTTGAATAATGTGTAATTTACTTATTAAAAGTATTTATTGGATTACTGAACGTGCTATTCGGTGTAACTTACTAGTAAAACTAAATGTTTAGAATATCAATGTAATTTTGTGATTGCTATTTTAAATTTCTATATCATTCACTTATATTTGTATAAATATTTTAGTGCTTTATATCAATTCATATGAGTCTTATATTATATGAGTTTTAAAGAGGCGATGAGTGGGGTATGTCTTGTAGCCAATTGATCCGATCAATACATACAGTGAATCCATTGTCAGCCATATTCAGTATGAGATTCTGTCCCATAACTGCCAGACCAATGAGGGCTATGTCTGCTTCAGGCCTTCAATGATCACACATTTAGATATTATTAACAATAAGTATAATATTGAGATAATTATGACAAAAGTTTCATTTTTCCCATATTTTGCAATTCAGATAACGCTTTAAGGAAATAATTTCCAAATCTATACATTAAATGCATTTCTCTATTATTATAGCTATTGTGCAATAATAATGCATTTGTTTCTATACTTTCTATACCTGTTTTTAGACTTATATAATAATTGTAGTATAGCTATAATATAGTGAAACCGCATTTTGCGGGTCCACCCAACTGTAAGCCTTACAGTGCAAATGCACTAATTACAATGAGCAAGCACACTTCAAATCTAATGATATAGTGCATTACAAACAGTATTTAATATAATACTGTATATTAATCAAAGCATTCATAAGCAAAATATACTGTAGTCATAAATATATGGTTATAGGTTAACCTACTATTCAAATCACAATTGTACTCAATGTCTAACATTAGACTTATAGAGTATAACAAATTTAAATGCCTTTTAAACCGCATGCTATCATCAAATGAATGCATACTTTGTATGATTTTTGGTAAATTCAAACCATTTACTCGTCAAATATTAATCTATAATAATTGCTATTAATATCATATAATTGCTTTAAATGCATAAATCGCTATATAATTGTAATTTAATACATTTGTAATTAAATTAGCAAAACATTTGCAATCATTTGTCTCACATAACGGTAAACAATAAATTCATTGCAAACACACTATATATGAAAGACGGTATAAATTATAGCAATTGAATGCAGAAATGAATGAAATGATTATGACTTACATTGTCTTCAATTAAGTAATTGTTATTCAATTCAGTGAACAGTCAGTCAATCAGTGTCTGAGTGTTGAGTCTCAGCTCACTTCAAATGCAACTCCACTTCAAACGTATGACGCAATCCATGACTACATCTATTGGACACACCATTCATCCAATCGTATGACTCGAGCACTGGTCCAGAGGCAGACCCACACCATCACCACTA